TCAGATTTAAACCCAATTTTATTCTTCCCAGCGATAAAAAGTAAACATCCGTTGACAGAATGATTCTTAAATTCGTAAGTTAGGCTCAGATTGTTCCCTGTTAGGCCATACCGAGAGAAGAGCATTGTGTGAGCCCAACCCCATCCGCACACAAAAAGACACACACAGAATCACACACACACAAAAGTTCTTACAGCTAAATTATTAAGCCAGTCAAGGACAAGTCAAACCACAAACGTCTCCATACTTAGAGAGGGATTTTCCAAACGGCATAGAAAGCTATGGCTTTGTCTCCTATTAGTAAAATAAGAATCTAGTCCTCATTGTGCAAAATAAATAGAGGTTTGTTAAATAAGCAGGAAAGGAGCGGCTGAAATGTACACCCGAAGTCCCAGACTGGACAGCGGTAATTCTCCAGATGTTCAAACTGGAGTTTTTCTCCTACTTGCGAGACCACAAAGATAGAATTCGGTAGTTTCTAAATGCCAAATTGGTAGAAAATTAAAAAAAAAAACTTTCCTCGGTGAGGAAGTTAGTTAGGGGTGGAAAATGTGCAACCGTCTGGATATTGAATTCCAGAAAGATTTTGGAGTGGGAGGCGCGCCTAAATTAAAATAAATTAAATTAAATTATAATTTCCCAGCTGGTGTGATTGGCACAAATAAATTAAATTTTAATTTCCCAGCTGGTGTGATTGGCAGGATGTGGGGAGCTGCAGCTTGCAGGAGTAAGTAGCGTTTTCCCCAAATGAGATCACAACTCTTGAAATGGTTTTAAGTCTTAGAGTAGTTTCCTTCTTTGAATTAATAAACAGATCACAATGTTGGGTGCAAAAGGATTAATTTTGGATTTTGAGAGATTTGTCTGCATCAGAGCTAAACTTTGCGGGAAGTAAATAACCTGGAATCTGTGACTCCAGGCAGGGGAAGGCATTCTCCGTAGGACTACTGAATCATTGAATCTAACAGTTGGAAAGGACCGTGAGGTCATCTAGTCTAACCCCTCAAGGATGAGCTATTGTAGATCTGAAGATGCCAGCCAGCTACAAAAGCAGGTGTTAGAAACCAGCATTTTTTTCTTCAAAGTACCTTCAGTCATTGCAACAGACAGGATGTAGTACCCCGCACTCCGAAAGAGGCCCTCCCCCCCCTCGATCCCTTCCCTCATTCCATTGTCTTTACGTGTGATCTTCCCATCTGGTGCTGTCATCGACTCACACAGTGGCGAAGGGATGCCAGGGTGGGGATAGCTGTACCGTGGCATGATTAAAAGAGAGAGAGAGAGAGATAGTAGAGCGAGCTAATAAATACATAAATAAACATAATTCACAACATCTGGATTGGAAAATTATCTCTGCATTCCGAGAACTAGCAGCCATCAGGAGAAGGAAGGAAGGAAGGAAGGAAGGAAGGAAGGAAGGAAGGAAGGAAGGAAGGAAGGAGGGAGGGAGGGAGGGAGGGAGGGAGGGAGGGAGGGAGGAAGGAAGGAAGGAAGGAAAGAAGGAGAAGGAGGGAGGAAGGCAGGGGGGAGAAAGGGACGAAGGAAGGAAGGAAGGAAGAGGAGGAGGAGAAAGAGGGAGAGAAGGAGGGAGGGAGGGAGGAAGGAAGGATGGATGGATGGAAGGAAGGAAGAAAGAAAGGAAGGAAGGAGGAGAAGGAGGGAGGGTGGCAGGGGGGAGGGTGGAAGGAAGGAAGGAGGGAGGCAGGGAGGCAGGGAGGAGAAAGGGATGAAGAAAGGAAGGAAGAGGAGGAGGAGGGAGGGAGGGAGGGAGGGAGGAAGGAAGGAAGGAAGAGGGAGAAAGAGAACACAAGTACTCCTCAACTTACGATGACAATTGGGACCAGAATTTTCATTGCTAAACTAGGCAGCTATAAGACAGCCCAATACTACAAGGGTTTTTTTTTTGCCACGGTTGCTAAGTGAATCACATGGTCATTAAGCGAATCCAGTTTCCCCCATTGATTTTGCTTGTTGGAAGCTGGCTGACGAGGTCACAAATGGGGATTGCCTGACCCTGGGACACCGCAGCCGTCATAAATATATGCTGGCTGCCAAGCGCTCGAATTTTGTTTATGTGACCGTGGGAATACTGTATTGGTTGTTCGGTGTGAGGATTGGTCGTTAGTCGCTTTTTCTCAGCGCCGTTTTAACTTTGAATGGTCGCTCAACACACGGTCGTAAGTCGAGGACTACCTGCAGTCCGTAAAGAGAATCAATTCACTTTGAAAACCATCGTCCAGCAGAAAAGTGAGGCTTCGGTCCGACTGTCCGTCATCGGAGCCCCTCTGTCTTCCATCACTTGTGCAGCCTCTCCATGATCGTGCCTCAGTGTCCCCGCTGTAAAAAGAAACTCGGTGATTGTCCAAAATGGGACACTAATAGAAACTGGCACTAGGAAGCAACCATCACAGTTGTTCTTCCGTCCGGAATGAGCTGTTGGTGGCTCCGGCGTGTCCCGAACTCAGCTCCCCGTCTAGGATATTATCCAAGGATCCATGCTGGATGGGTTTGGCTTTCCGTATGTAGAAACGCCACAAGAGGACAGAAACAACCCCCAGGATTACCACAGAGGCCAAACCCACTGCTATATAGACATAGGTCATCTGGTGAGCCGGGGTTCGAACACGCCGGCACAGTCCGTGTTCTCGAACGCCATCGTCCGTCGGGCTGAACCCAGCTCGGTTGGCCGCCACGACGCAGAGGAGATATTCGGTGCCGGGTATAAGGTCGGACAGCACTGTGACGCGGACGGTATTGTTTAGCGGAGGCCCTGAAATGAAATCCTCGCCGGGGATCTGGTACTTGAGGTGGTACTTTTGAACCGTGGACGAAGGGGCACACCAGTGCAAGTTCGCTCGGGTCTCGCTGACGTGAACCGCTCGTAAACGGGGAGCGTCCGGGAGGACGTCCGGACCGGTGACTCCGGGACACAAACATTTGCTTAACCGGCTCAATTCTGCGCAAGGCACTTGGAGATGTTTGCAGCGGTCGTAGGCGCAAAAGGGGGTCAGCGACCCCGGGGAGACGGAACGGGGGGACTCGGTGGTCTGAAAGTTGTCGTAATAATCTTCGTAGTAGTCGTCGTAGTCATCGGACGCCGCGGGAGATGCTTTCTCCGGTCCGGAGAGCGGGGTGTGGCTGACCGACGGATGAGGGGTGTTTGGGCCTTGGAGGGGTTTGGGTAGCGGGTGGCCCATGCTGGTTGTGGACCCCTGAGGGCACAGCGTCAGGAGGCCACAAGCCATGATGGGTAAGAGCGTCCAAGCTTGCATGGTTCCTGAGGAGAAGACGAGAGGGAGACACTCGTGAGGAAAAAGACACAGGTGGGCCTTAGAACGATTCGTTTAGCGATGTTACAACAACCTTGATTAAAGTGACTTGCAACCAGTCTTTGTGGTGAGGACCCTAGTAGCATCTGCACGGTGGCATGAACAAAAATCAGACAACTTGGCAACCAGATGCATTTACAACAATTTGCAGCATCCTGGGGTCGTGTGACGGCCATTTGCGGCCTTCCCGGACCAGCAGTGTTCAAAGGGGAGAAGTTAGATTCACTGAACGACCACACAAGAACTGCAGTGATTTGCTTAACAACCAAGCTCAGAGCGCACCAAGGACAATTCCTCCTCCTCCTCTTCCTCCTCCCCCCCCCATACATACCCCCTCTCCCTTCTAGTCCTAATGACGTTAACTAGTTGGGTCATGAAACGTCTGGAAGAAAACTATCAAGCTCAGAGAACACCAAGGACTCCACAGTCGTCTTCTTCCTCCTCCTCCTTTCTACAAACCTCCCTCCCTCCTAGCACTGATGATGTTACCTGATTAGGTCATGAAACGCCTGCAAAAAAATAATAATAAAATCAGGCGTGACTCACTTAAACAATCTCCTTGCCTAGCAATGGAGATTCTGCCCCCGTGTCTCAGTCGTAAGTCAAGGACCAACTGTAATGAAAAATGCTTTTTTTTCCCCACCGTTCCAGGTTCACCCTTTGGATAACTCTTCCAGGCTGCCCAATTCATCAGGAAAAGCAAGCAAATGAACCAACGACAAGAGAGGGAGGAGAGAGAGAGTGGCTCACCTGGCTTGTTCAGCACAATCCGCTCAGCGAAGGATAATTCGGGATCCAAGCACGATGGAAGGAATCAAAATATTCAGGAATCCGGGATGAAGTTGTCCAGCATTAGGGGTCTCCCAGATAAAAACAGAGAGAGAGAAAAATTGTTTTTTTTTTTTTCTTAAACTGGATTCAGCATCACCTCTCCGGCAGCCAAAATCAAGATATATATATTTTTTTGTCCTCGCTTTGCAAGGCACGGCGGAGTGGAATTCTCTCTGTTGGGACTCGCTCACCAAAGAAAACTTTATATCTTACTCATCCGATGACTTAATCTGCCCCTCCTCGCCTCCCCCCTTTTTTTTTTTTTACAACCGGGTCCAGCCAGTGGGAAGCAGGGAAAGGAGAGCCAAGGGGGTGGGTTTTTCTGGTTTTCATTTAAGGAGAAGGGGAAAAAAAAAAATTTTTTTTTGGCCTTGCCTCCAGCTCCCATTGCAGGTGTTCGTGCAAAAAAAAAAAAAAGAGAGAGAGAAAGAGAGAGAGCAAAGCATGCCTTATAAGGATTGTTTGCACACTCCTCGCGTCCGTGAATCCGTTCAGCGAAAATAAAATAAAATAAAACCTCTGCCTCCAGCAGTTGGGAATGCTCCAACACAGGAAGTTTTTAAGAAGAGATTGGCTCACCTTTTGGCTGGAATGGCATAGGGTTTCCTACCTGAGCAGGGATTGGACTAGAAGACTTCCAAGGCCTCTTCCAGCTCTGTTATCCTGTTATTCTGCCTTCTTTCTTTCCTTCCTTCCTTCCTTCCTTCCTTCCTTCCTTCCTTCCTTCCTTCCTTCCTTCTTTTCCTCCTTCCTTTTGGTTGGACTAGAAGACCTTCAAGCTCTGTTATCCTTCCTTCCTTTCCTTTCCTTTCCTTTCCTTTCCTTTCCTTTCCTTTCCTTCCTTCCTTCCTTCCTTCCTTCCCTCCCTCCCTCCTTCCCTCCTTCCTTCTTTCCCTCCTTTCTTCCGGTTGGACTAGAAGACCTTCAGGCTCTGTTATCCTTCCTTCCTTCCTTTCCTTCCTTCCTTCCTTCTGGTTGGACTAGAAGAGCCTTGGTACTACAGTGGTTTAAAGCACCCTGTTATTAACACAGCTGCCTGCAATTTACTGCTGGTTCGAATCTCTCCAAGGCTCAAGGTTGACTCAGCCTTCCATCCTTTCTAAGGTAGGTTAAATGAGGACCCAGTTTTTGGGTTCAATAAGCTGACTTTGTATAAATATACAAAAGTATGAAGGCTATTGCTTAACGCACTGTAAGCCGCCCTGAGTCTCCGGAGAAGGGCGGCATATAAATCAAATTAAAAAAAAATAATAATAATAAAATAAAAAAAAAGATCTCCAGGCTCTGTTATCCTTCCTTCCCTCCCTCCCTCCCCCCTCCCTCCTTCTTCCCTTCCTTCCTTCCTTCCTTCCTTCCTTCTGGTTGGACTAGAAGATCTCCAGGCTCTGTTATCCTTCCTTCCTTCCTTCCCTTCTTTCCTTCCTTCCTTCCTTCTGGTTGGACTAGAAGATCTCCAGGCTCTGTTATCCTTCCTTCCTTCCTTCCTTCCTTCCTTCCTTCCTTTCCTTCCTTCCTTCCTTCTGGTTGGACTAGATCTCCAGGCTCTGTTATCCTTCCTTCCTTCCTTCCTTCCTTCCTTCCTTCCTTCCTTCCTTCCTTTCCTTCCTTCCTTCCTTCTGGTTGGACTAGAAGATCTCCAGGCTCTGTTATCCTTCCTTCCCTCCCTCCCTTCTTCTTCCCTTCCTTCCTTCCTTCCTTCCTTCTGGTTGGACTAGAAGATCTCCAGGCTCTGTTATCCTTCCTTCCTTCCTTCCCTTCTTTCCTTCCTTCCTTCCTTCTGGTTGGACTAGAAGATCTCCAGGCTCTGTTATCCTTCCTTCCTTCCTTCCTTCCTTCCTTCCTTCCTTCCTTCCTTCCTTTCCTTCCTTCCTTTCCTTCCAGTTAGACTAGAAGACCTCCAGGCTCCCCTCCCTCCCTCCCCAGCCTGCTTTAAGATGGGTGGACTTCAACTCCCAGAATTCCCCAGCCAGCCTGCTTTAAGATGGATGGATTGCCCCTGGACAGGACATAACTCATTTAAGAACTGTCTTGTTAAGCAACCGAAATTCGAGCCCCAATTCTGGCCATAAGTTCAATGTATTTCTTGGATAAGTTCAATGTATTTTTTACAGGAAAGTGGCATGTTAAACAGTCAATCCATTTCTTTTCATACTGAAAAAGTACTTTAATTTTTATTTGATTATTCTTGCTTTGACCTGTTCCTGAAAGCTGGAAGTAAGGAAACGTATCCCTGCTTCTTCCTTAGGTAAATCCTCAAAACTGAGTATTTGCAATGAAAAACAACAACAAAAACAGCGTCTTATTCAATGTTTGCCGTCTTCCAAATTCTCGTTTAATCCATTTTGTTCCCCTGGCCTGTAGCAACCTGGTTGCTAAAATAAACAGATCTAAATTCTTCAGACGAGCCTCTTAAAAATATTTTCTTGCATTTATTAAATGCTTCCTTCATCCACTCTATATATATATATAAAAAAAATTCCATGAAAACTGCAGGTGCAAAAGGCTGACACAAAAGACAAATTCATCCAGGGAGCCAGAGTTTTCAAAACAAGCTCCCAAAATACTTTTTTTGGTGTGTTTGTTTTCTTTCAAAATACCAAAAATATCTCCAGAGTTGTCATCTGGCAGCCGAGCCCTGTCTTGTTTTCTGGCAGCGGTGTCTCGAGTTAGCAAAAAAATATCTTGGATTTAATTCACGCTCGTCCAAAGGAATTTTTTTTCCACCACCCCTTTTTCCTGGAAATATTTTTTGCTCGGGAACATCTTGTGCTGAGTCAGAATATCGTGTTAGTGACTCAGCATCAATTGGCTTTTAAGGAAAATCTCATTTCCTTTCGCCTGAAAATGATGATGATTGAATTATTATTTGGGCCTCTTGGACGATCCTTAAAATCTTTGAACACGAATTATGATGTATATCTGTGCTATAATGTTTACTACTATGGCTCAAAGTCTCAAGGATTATGTATTATAAATGTTCCTTAAACATTTGTTTTATTAAAGCAAGCAGAAATCGGCTGGGTTTTCATTACAAGAATATACAGATAATCCTTGATTTACGACCACAAGTGAGCCGCAAATGTTTGTTGCTAAGCGAAACATTTTACGATCTTCCTTGCCACAGTTGTTCAGTGAATCATGATTAAGGTAGAAACACCGCTGTTAAGGTAGAAACACCGTTGTTAAGTGACGATGGCTTCCTTGTTGACTTGGCTCATCAGAAGGTCACAAAAGGATGATCATCTGGGACATGTGCAACCCGTCGTAAATATGAGTCAGTGGCCAAGCGTCTTGAATTTTGATCCCACGATGACAGGGATGCCATAATGGTCATTAAGTGTGAAAAACAGTCCCTTTTTTCAGCGCCGTCGTAACTCTGAATGGTCACTAAATGAGCAGTTGTACGTCGAAGACTACCTCAGTTAGAGAAAGGCAGTCCTTGATTTATGACCGTAATCGGGATCTGAATATATCATTTCTAAGCAAGGCAAGGCGGTTTTTAAGCTAAGTCTGGCTTTACAACCTTTCCCCCCCCCGTGGTCGTTAAGCAAATCACTGCCGTTCCTAAGTGAACCAGGCAGTCATTAAGCGAATCCGGCCTTTGCTTGTTGGACACCGGCCGGGAAGGTCGAAAATCACAATCACGGGACACACACACCCTCCAAGACCCAGCAACCGTTGTAAATGCCGTTTGCCAAATTTTGATCCCGGGATCGTGGTAATACTGTGACGGTCATAAGTCTGAGGACCGGTTGCCAGTCAGGTTTTTTTTTTCCCTCCCGTTCTGTTGTAAGGTTGAAAAGTTTCGTTGTAAGTCGAGGATAAACCTGTAGAGATTTATCGCGAAGAAATATTTTAAAAAATGACCAGCTGCGAACGCTGGCGGAGCCTTACGGAATCGTGACACAACGGCGGTTTAAAATTGACTAACGCATTTCAATCGGTGTGGCTGGCAAAGAGGTGTGATTACACACGCCCCAGATGGGTGGGGATCCCTGGGGGTCAGAGCCAGCCCAAAAGTTGGCTAATATAGAGTTTATTTGCGGTTTGTGGAATGCAGACGGTTCTCCTTCCCAGAAATAAAGAGGGTGGAAACCGGACAAAGACGCGACACTCCCCACTCCAAGTGAAATTGGAAAAAAATAAATAAAAATAGCTGGCTGGACAGGATCTCGTGTCCTCACAACTATTCATGAGGAAAAAAAGAGAAAATTTAGATCAAGCACAAAATTCCAGGACTGGAATTAATAAAATTTGCCATTAGAGTTATGCAGAATTTTTTTTTAAAAAAATAGTTATTTTATTCCTGACTGGAATTTCCCCAAACGGCATCCTGGGGCTCAATTCAGATGTCAAAACGAACGTTTCCTTGATTTAATTTATTATTATTATTATTTAATATTTATTTAAATATTTAATTATTATTATTATTTAAAAATCCCTTTCTCCAGTCAGGATTCTGGTTGAATCCTGACTGGAATTTCCCCAAACCGCATCCTGGGGCTCAATTCAGATGTCAAAACCAACGTTTCCTTGCTTTAATTTATTATTATTATTATTTAATATTTATTTAAATATTTAATTATTATTATTATTATTTAAAAATCCCTTTCTCCAGTCAGGATTCTGGTTGAATCCTGACTGGAATTTCCCCAAATGGCATCCTGGGGCTCAATTCAGATGTCAAAACGAACATTTCCTTGCTTTAATTTATTATTATTATTATTTAATATTTATTTAAATATTTAATTATTATTATTATTTAAAAATCCTTTTCTCCAGTCAGGATTCTGGTTGAATCCTGACTGGAATTTCCCCAAACCGCATCCTGGGGCTCAATTCAGATTTCAAAACGAACGTTTCCTTGATTTAATTTATTATTATTATTATTATTATTATTATTATTATTATTATTATTATTTAATATCATTATCATTATTTAAAAATCCCTTTCTCCCAAGCCGACCTCTCGGCATTGAGGACTAGAACCTTGTCTTTCCATCCAAATGTTTTAAAACGTCTGGCTTTAAAGGAGGGCCCAGCGGGACAGCTGAGGTGTTTTTTTTCCCCCTCTGCTGGAAAAGCAGAAGCGGTGTGGGGCAGTTTCTGTTTGCTTTCTGCAAACACAACGTTTTGTGGCCTTTTTGTTTGCAAAATTAGTCAGCAAGCAATCGCATTCCAGAGATGAGGGTGGGAAAAAAAATGTGTGGCGGTTATCAGAATTTACTTGGCTGAAAATACCTGCTTGCATTTGCTCCCTGAAAAAATAAAATATATTGTTGTTTTGTTTCCTTCGGGGCTCCAAGGTTGTGTAAAATAAACTCCCGTTAAAAAAAAGGAGGGGAAAATTGCCAGAGTTGCAAACACTCCTTGCAGCTTGCCGGGGGTTAAATTCACACAATACAAAGCCACAATTTAGGGCAGTGTATACCCCCAAACCCAAATCCTGGATAATTGCACATTTTGGTCATGAGGTCTTAGCAAGAAAACAAAACAAAGTGTGACTTGAAGGCAGTTTGGCCTAGTGGTTAAGCATCGAGCTAAGAACTGGGAGATGGTGAGTTCTAGTCCTGTCTTAAGACATGAAAGCCAGATGGATAATGTTGGGCCAATCACCAGGAGACAGGGAGTTCTAGTTTTGACTTAGGTATAAAAATCGGCTGAGCAACTTTGGGCCAATCATCAGGAGACGGCGAGTTCTAATCCTGTTTAGGCATGAAAGATGGCTGGGTGACTTTGGACCAAATCACTAGGAGAGGCGAGTTCTAGTTCGGCCTTAGGCATGAAAGCCCACTGGGTGACTTTGGACCAATCACTAGGAGAGGCGAGTTGTAGTTCGCCTTAGGCATGAAAGCCCACTGGGTAATTTTGGACCAATCACTAGGAGAGGCGAGTTCTAGTTCGGCCTTAGGCATGAAAGCCCACTGGGTGACTTTGGGCCAATCACCAGGAGACAGGGAGTTCTAGTTTTGACCTAGAAACAAAACCAGCTGAGCGGCCAATCACTAGGAGTCGGTGAGTTCTAGTCCTGCCTTAGGCATGAGCGCCGGCTGGGTGTTTTTAGGCCAGTCCTCTCTCAGCCCAACCTACCTCACAGGGTTGTTGTGTGAAGAAAATAGGAGGAAGATTAAATATGGCTGCACATACAGTCCAGTTGTCGAACATTGGAAGTTTAGTCCTGTGACTGGAGTGGGGGGGGGGAGCATCAGAACTTCAAATCTGGGTCACGAGTAGCTTCCAGGTAGGTCCGACATAACCCAAGGACTACTGTCATAAGTGGAGGACTCCTGAACACCTCAAACGCAAGCGCTCTCTCAATTCCCATTCTTCGGAGAAAGGGAGGTTTTCGATCACGAGACAACGGCGATGAGCGACTCGCCGTTCAACTTTTATTTAACTTACAGTGTTTCGTGTGTGAGGAGAAGGGATTGGAATGTAAACATAAGCAAGGAGTAAAATACAAGCCCTCGGGAGAGCAAGGCCTGTGGGTGGGCTACCGGGAGTGTAACGTGGAGCTTCCTGGCAGGACTCGAACCCATGCCTGATCAGGAACTGGAACAGCTACTTCTCTGGCGGACTTCCGAGCCGACCGTCAGTGTCCGGGACAAGGGAGGCAGCAGATCTGAGCTGTTCCCCTCTGAGGAAGGGGCAGGAAGGTTGACCTCGGTAAGCAGGGGTGTCTCGTCCGGAGCATCGTATTCGGCCTCTGTTAAAAGAGGAACACCCCCCCCCAAAAAATTAGGATCTGTCTGAAGGTGGACGGGGCGACAGGACACATGATTGGCGTTGATGCGGAGACCCCAAATTGTGTAAGTAACGGGGTTTCCTGGCACGCCGTATGCAGAGGTGGTCTTCAGCCGGTTCGGTTCGGTCCGGTTTGGACGCAATCCCATCCTATATCACTTGTTTTTGATGTTGCATGCATGTATGGATGGCACACGCAAGCGAGCGAATTCCTGTGTTTTGTGATGCCGTACGCATACGCGGATGGCACTCGGTCACATTTCCGGTGTTGGGCGAACCGGTGGTAACGGTATGCGAAGGCCCACCTCTGGCAGTATGGTTATACAGCTGGATTTTGGGGACCAAAAAAATCTCAAAGGATTGGTACTTTTGGAGTGGGGAAGACTTTGAAAGATACAGACAATCCTCGAATTACGAACATTCACTTAACCACTCAAAGTTATTACAACGGCGCTGAAAAAAAGGGATTTGCGACCAGGCCTCATACTTATGACCATCCCACGGACGCCTCGTCATAATTTGGATGTTTTGTCAACCGGCGTGTATCTACGACGACGACTGTATGATACCGGGATCAGGGGAATCGTCATATATGAGCTTCCCAACTGGCTTCCGACAAGCGGAGTCAACGAGATGGAACGAGGATTTGTTTAGCAACCACACAATTCGCTTAACGACTGCAGCGATCTGCTTAAATCGCCAGGCCGAAAAAGCTTGTAAAATCAGGCCAGGAGTCGCTTAAAACCGATCACCAGAGCGAAGGCCGGTCGTAACTCACACTTTTTTCACATTGTGACTGTGAACGGTCGCTTAAAGGAATTGGTTGCAATTCGAGGACTACCTGTAGAAAAAGGAAGCACAAGAATGCACTGCAAAATAAAATCCGGGTCACCTTCATTTGAGCTGGCGGTCGCGCTGGATTCCGTTCCAAAATCGGATTTTTCAAGACTGCTTTTCTTCACCTCCGTCGTAGACTCTGCAGAAGATCGAGGGGATTAAAATCGAGAAAACGAAATCGATTCTAAGTGTACTATCCCGTACAGGTAAGTCCTTGACTTACAACAATTCATTTAGCGACCAAAGTTACGACGGCACTAAAAAAAGTGACTCAGGACCGTTTTTCACACTTATGACGGTTGCAGCAACCCCTATGGTCACGTGATTGATATTCGGATGCTTGGCAACCGTGTCAGATTTATGACGGTCGCAGTGGGGGGGGGGGTGTCACGTGATCCCGTTTTGCAACCTTCTGAGAAGTCAAGTCAATCGGGAAGCCATATTCACTTAACAACCGTCTAACTAACTTAGCAACTGCAGTGATTCACTTAACAATGGTGGCAAGAATGATCGTAAAATGTCGCTTAACACATTTCTCACTTAACAACATAAATTTTGGGCTCAATTGTGGTCGTAAGGCGAGGACTATCCGTACATTAAAACAAAACATTAATGCGAGAAAAAGCACTTGCTCTACAGCAATTGAGCCCAATATGTCTCTTGCTAAGGGAGACAATTTTTATGGTGAATTTTGCTCCATTTTAAAACCTTTATTGCCACAGTTGTTAAGTGAATCACTGCAGTTGTTAAATTACTAACATGGCTGTTAAGTGAATCTGGCTGGCCCCATTGACTTTGCTAGTCAGAAGGTCGCAAAAGGGGGATCACGTGACTTGAGGACACTGCGACCGTCGTAAATATGAACCTATTGCCAAGCATCTGGATTTTGATCATGTGACCATGGGGATGACTCTACAATGGTTGTAATTGTGCAAAACGGTCCTAAATCACTTTTTTTCAATGCCGTCGTAACTTTGAACGGTCACTAAGTGAATGGCTGCAAGTCGAGGACTATCTGTAAAAAAAAAGGCAGAAAGATCAAAGAGCCAGGAAACCCAACTGTAAGATTGCTTGGATGTTCGGATTGATCTTCGTCTCCTTTTAATGACCCCATAATCCCTTGCAAGGTAGAATCTGGGCAACTGAATGGAGTTGAGTGTTTTACTGGCCGGATGCCCTTCCCTGTCACCAATACGGAGTTTTGTTCAGCAGATCTATTCTCATCGTGCCCAGAGAGAGAAATATCTGCCTCTACCTAGGATCGAACTCACAGCCTCCTGATTGTGAGGCCAGAGCTCCACCTCCACCTCTAGGCCACCATATCACTCATGTTGGGACTGATCCCGGCAAGCAATTTGATCATTACTCGAGATAAATTTTGAGTCTCGCCCGATAAAAGAAAAGAGAATTCAAAATCAACACACCAGCTTTGGACAATTTTTCTCCTTCGGCAACTCCGACATCTTCTGGCTGCAGCAGAGAAGTGTCTTCTTCTACGTCGCCTCCTGGGGGGGGGGGGAAAGGGGGGGGAGAAAGCTGATTACAGGTAGTCCTCGACTTATGACCATTCATTTAGTGACTGTTCAATGTTACAAACGGCACTGTCAAAAAAAAAAAAAAAATTATGAGCGGTCGTTTTGCTTATGATCTTTAGGGCGTCTCTGACGTCACACGATGGTAATTCGGTCACCTGGCAATTGTGTCTTTTACGACAATCACAGTGTCCCGAACACACACAGAGATTTTGCATCTTCTTTCCTTCGTGATTGAACTGAGAGCTGTGAGTCCGATCACAACCGACCTCACCTTCTTTAGGAAACACAACTTGTCGACGTGAATCATCCAAGTTTTGCACTGGTCCGGATTTGTCCCGGCCCGGGATCTGTTCAGAAACGAAAAAAAAACAGAAAGAAACTGATTATTCATTGGGACTCGGTCCAGCAATGGTAATTCTGTATTTGTTGAGTTTTTTCAAGGTCTTTTTGTGCCTAGTTCAGGTAGACCTTGACGTAAGACGGTAAGGGAAGCTGCCTTTTGCAATTGACCGATGGGGATTTTGTCAATGCTGATGTTGTTCAATTATTATTGCGGTTCGTCGCAAAGCCAGACAGATGTTTCGATGGGATTTGGCTTCTTGAGTCCTTCCCAAGGACTTGCGACAGGTTTGATGGTGTCAAAAGTCTCGTTATGGGATGTCAGATGTTCCCTTCCGAAATTGACAGATGGGGATTTTGTCAATGCCCATCCGTCAATTGCCAAAAAGGCAGCTTTATCTGGAACAGCTGACATTATCAATTATTATTATTCTCAAATTTATTTTAACAGAATCACAGCGTTGGAAGGTCTCACAGAAGTCCAACCCCCTGCTCTGCCCCATTCCAGACAAATTGTTGTCCAATCTCTTCTTAAAAACCTCCAGTGATGGAGCTCCCACGACTTCTGGAGGAAGCTGCTCCACTGAATAATTGTCCTCACTGTTAGGAAGTTTCTCCTTAATTCCAAGTTGCTTCTCTCCTTGGTTAGTTTCCATCCGTTGCTTCTTGTCCTGCCTTCAGGTGCTTTGGAGAATAGGATGACAGCCCCCTCCCCCTCTTCTTTGTGGCAACTCCTCAAATATTGGAAGACCGATATCGTGTCACCACCCGGAGTCCTTCTTTTCACTAGACTAGATGTACCCAATTCTTGCAACCGTTCTTCGTATGCTTTAAGCCTCATGTTTTTAGATCAATTATTTTCTGCCTATCTCACGGCAAATAAATGATTCTTTATCGTGCACAAAACATCGTGTTCTCACCTAGGCTTCCCCAAACCACGAAGCAGACTCCTTGTCCCGACAAAAAACCCTTTTTATTAAGTTTTGGTGAATTCCTCTCATTCACATCCAGCAAAGTCTTTCAAGGGAGAATTTACAATCACAGACCTTTATCTGGCTTGGAGAGCTGCCAGGCCCGATATCTTCAAAACTTGGAAAGGAGTCACGAACCAATTAAGCGAACTAATTGCCTCCTGCAAACTCCCCTCCCCTTTCGCTCCTCTTTTATTCCCTCTGGGAGGGGCAATTCACCGTCCACCTGTGGCTTTACTCCTGAGTCGCCCCTTGTTCTTTAGCTGTTCCCTTCGTCTGGCAACTCTGTGCATGCATACACTGGGAACAGGCTCCAGCTGTTCTTCTCCCTCACTGATGTCTGACTCCGAAGGTAGCTGATAACTGTCAGACGGCCCTGGCCCACTCTCTGCCTCCGATGCAGAGCCTTCCCCAGACTCCAGGACTGGCCCACGTTCCTCCCCAATCTCCTCACTGTCTGAATTTGCTGCCAACTCCGTTGGCGGGCCACAACACATCGAACCCGGAGGAGCAGGTAAAATATGCAAACTCGTTCACAGGTAAAAAGTTGTGCGGTGCCTACGTGTGTGTGTGTGTCTGTCGCAGCAGGCAGAGAAGCCCCCAAAACACACACCTGTACAGAGAGCGTTTCTTTAGGCCACAAACTGCCCCAGATCCACTGCAGGTAGCTGAAAAGCACGATGACGCTGAGGAACATGAAGTTGCTGACAACTCCCAAGACGGCCGAAGTCACAGGGAAGTTGTACAGAAGATACCTGTGGGGCCGAAAGACAAGAAAAACGATGGGTTAAGAGTTCACCGTCATGTATCTCGGTATATTTCGATCCTTCCATTCAAAACTTGAGCCTTGGTAGTACAGTGGTCTAAAGCACCCTGTTATTAAGACCAGCTACCTGCAATTACTGCAGGTTCGAATCTCGCCAGGCTCAAGGTCGACTCGGCCTTCCATCCTTTCTAAGGTGGGTAAAATGAGGGGCAATAAAGTTTGTGGGGGCAATAAACTGACTTTGTATAAAATATACAAAAGTATAAAGGCTATTGCTTAACGCATTGTAAGCCGCCCTGAGTCTCCGGAGAAGGGCGGCATATAAATCAAATTAAAAACAAAACAAAACAAAACTTGGTCATCGAATTTTGTTTTCGTTGAATGCTGTAAGGTCTCTCCTGGACTTGCCTTCTCTCTGCGTTGTCGTAACGTCGAGGGTTGTCTATACACACTATTTATCCACGCCTCTGGTCTACTCCATCCCACCCCAAAAAAACTCAAGAGTCTCCTTCAAATCTTAGCAAGGAAAGAATCGGTCCGGAAATCTAGAAATGAGCAGGGTGGATATTCGAGTTGACTCAACGGATGAGATTTGAGCAATTCAGTTATTGCAACACCTGTGTTTGTGACTATAGAAAGTGTTTTTTTTTTTTTAAAAAAAAATCTCCTTAAATTCGGTCGGATTTTCCTGGCAAGCCTAAAGTTCTCCGTTTCAAATTCAAACCGGAAAATCTTCCCTGCGTTTATTGCTTTATGTAGGGGAAAAAAAAAAATAAGAATTTTCTTCCCTTCTCAAAACATTCAACGTGAGTCTCTCTCTTACCGCAGACCAGTGAAATGCGCGTGAATTCTCAGGTGCGCCCCATAAATCTGGATTCTAGTCGTCTGGATTTCAATCACTGCCCCAATGGTGGGGATATACTAAAAGGAAAGAGGAAAAATTAAATTAAAGAGAGGCAAAGCTGGATTTTTCCTGCTAGTTATGTTATGGTCTCAGATTATTTCGCAATTCCATGCTCAAACATTCTGCAGGTAGCCCTTGGCTTATGACCACAATTGAGCTCAAAATTTATGTTGTTTTAAGTGAGTTTTGCTGCTATTTTTCGGCCTTTCTTGCCACTCTTATTGTCTAAGTTGGGCCAGGATTCACAGGGATCTTAGTTCCCTCTAGTGGAAATTCCAGAATCAAGCAGTAAAAATTTGTAAAAACAGAATTAACATCACAGCCCCGTTTCTGAATCTCAGCAACTTTAAGATGGGTGGACTTCAACTCCCAGAATTCCCCAGCCAGCCTGCTTGAAGATGGGTGGACTTCAACTCCCAGAATTCCCCAGTCAGCCTGCTTTAAAATGAGTGGACTTCAACTCCCAGAATTCCCCAGCCAGCCTGCTTGAAGATGGGTGGACTTCAACTCCCAGAATTCCCCAGCCAGCCTGCTTTAAAATGAGTGGATTTTCGACTCCCAGAATTCCCCAGTCAGCTTGTTTTAACATGAGTGGAATTCAACTCCCAGAATTCCCCCGTCAGCCTGCTTTAAAATGAGTGGACTTCGACTCCCAGAATTCCCCAGTCAGCCTGTTTTAAAATGGGTGGACTTCGACTCCCAGAATTCCCCAGTCAGCCTGTTTTAAAATGGGTGGACTTCGACTCCCAGAATTCCCCAGTCAGCCTGCTTTAAAATGAGTGGACTTCGACTCCCAGAATTCCCCAGTCAGCTTGTTTTAAAATGGGTGGACTTCGACTCCCAGAATTCCCCAGCCAGCCTGTTTGAAGATGGGTGGACTTCAACTCCCAGAATTCCCCAGTCAGCCTGCTTTAAAATGGGTGGACTTTGACTCCCAGAATTCCCCAGTCAGCCTGCTTTAAAATGAGTGGACTTCAACTCCCAGAATTCCCCAGTCAGCCTGCTTTAAAATGAGTGGACTTCGACTCTCAGAATTCCCCAGTCAGCCTGTTTAAAATGGGTGGACTTCGACTCCCAGAATTCCCCAGTCAGCCTGTTTTAAAATGGGTGGACTTCGACTCCCAGAATTCCCCAGTCAGCCTGCTTTAAAATGAGTGGACTTCGACTCCCAGAATTCCCCAGTCAGCCTGCTTTAAAATGAGTGGACTTCGACTCCCAGAATTCCCCAGTCAGCTTGTTTTAAAATGGGTGGACTTCGACTCCCAGAATTCCCCAGCCAGCCTGTTTGAAGATGGGTGGACTTCAACTCCCAGAATTCCCCAGTCAGCCTGCTTTAAAATGGGTGGACTTCCACTCCCAGGATCCCCCAGTCAGCATGCTTTAAGAGGATGGACTTCAACACCCAGAATTCTCCAGCCAGCTTTAAGAGGAGGGGGGACTAGAGAATTCTGGGAGTTGAAGTCCACATGTCCTAAAGGTTGCTGAGATTGGGAAACATTGCGTTACAGCATTGCAACACAACTAATCCAGACTGCCCCAACTTGACACACACTTCCAGAAGTGCCGGATTTCAACTCCCACTGGCCAGATTGGCAAATCAAAAAATCTAACATGTCGGGACAGCTCGAAATCAACGAGTTGATTTTAATCTCACGGAGACCCGAGATCAAATCTCTTGCTCAGCTGGTTATTTTTTTACCTTACAGGAGGAGTAGAGCGGATAAAATAAAACCGAGCCTTCTTTGATCATGCAGCTAGTCCTCAACGTACAACCACCCAAAGGAGCCCCAAATTTTTACGTTGCTAAGTTGAGACGCCGGTTAAGTGACCGTCGCCCCGTTTTACGACCTTCCGTGCCGCGAAGCATTCGCTAGTCGTTCGGTTAGTAACACGGTCGTTAAACGAATCCGGCTTCCCCGTTGACTTTGCTGGTCAGGTGGTCGTAAAAGGGGATCGCGTGAACCCCGGGAGGCGGAGACCGTCATAAATATGAACCAGTTGCCAAGCACGTGACCGGGGGGAGGGAGATGCTGCAACGGTCGTTAAGTGTGAAAAACGGTCATAAGTCCCCTTTTTCAATGCCATTGTAACTTCGGTCGCTAACGGTTGTAAGTCGAGGACTGCCTGTACAATGAAGGTGGCTTATAACATCATTAAAAGATACAGGTAAGTCCTCGCACTTATGACCGCTGGTAGTATCTCCGCCATCACGGGATCAAAATTTGGGCAATGGTTGCAGCGATCTTCCCAGATGGCTTCCGACAGGGGGGCGAAGCCAGATTCGCTTAATGACCTCACGATTCGTTTAACGACTTTGGTGATTTGCTTAATAACCACTGGGCCAAAAAAAAAAAGGGTCGTAAAATCAGGCAGGACTCCCTTAGCAACTGCCTTGGTTAGTTAGCCACGGAAATTCCGGTCGTAACTTCGAGGACTAACCCTAGTCTGTTTCTTAATATCGGCATTAGAACAGGGGAATCTCAAAGGATCTGCATGCAAAGCTTCTTTTGGGGGGGGGGGCAAAGGGGATCTCACCGAATCTTCTTTGTAATCGGAATACAGCTCAACGTCCACCGTTTGTTTCTGTTCTGTAAACCCCGCGAGGAAGAGGCCGGCGAAAGCGAAGGTGTCGAGCATCTGTAATAATCCCGACCGATAATGCAACATGGCCTAAAACAGGAAGGAAATTCACCAATCAAGAGGTCAACAATCCAAGAATTACAGAGATACCGTTTTTTTTTTTTTTCTGATTGCAATTGAAGAGTGTATTTGTAGCTAGCACTGATGATGTTACCAAGCTGGGTCATGAGACGTCTGTAAGAAAACCAGCAAGCTCAGAGAGCGCCAAGGACCCTGGCAGTTTTTGCCCTCTTCCTCTCACCTCCTCCTCGTCCTCCTCCCATTCTCTTTCTCCTCCACTCTGCAAACCCCACTCCCTTCTAACCCTGATAATGTTACCTAGTTGGGTCATGAGACGTCTCCAAGAAAGAAACCAAGATCTGAGAACATCAGGGACCCCCACCGTTCAACCCTGAGCTACAAGGATTCTCTTCTAGCCAATCCACTTGTATGTAAACAGAGAGCAAAGCCAATTCTGTTCTAGCACTGATCATGTTACCTAGTTGGGTCATGAAACGTCTGTAAGAAAACAACCAAGGACAGAGAGCACCAAGGACTGAACTATCATTTCTGAATTAAAAATATTTCACCCCTTCTCATTGTCCCAGACAAAACTACCCAACCCATACAGAGAGCCACGGAAATTCTCCATTCTCACTCCGCAAACCCACTTCGTTGAGTTTAAGTCAATAAAATGTGGTTTATTGCAAGGCGGGAACCAGGTTTGAGACACTTCTGCAGGACCAGCCAAAATACATCACATTAATCACAAATTAAATCACATTAATGGGCTATTTCCCTCTCTTTCAGGCAGAAAACTGAGGGATCAGAGCCAGCTGGGTCTAGTGGTTAAGGCACTAGGCTAGAAATCTGGAGACTGTGAGTTCTAGTCCAGCCTTAGCCATGAAGGCCAGTTGGGAGACTTTGGTCCAATTATCAGGACCTGGTGAGTTCTAGTCCCGCTTTAGGTACAAGAGCCGGCTGGATGACTTTGGAATGGACCAATCCCCAGGAGACTGTGAGTTCTAGTCCCGCCTTAGGCATGAAAGTCAGCTGGATGATTTTGGACCAATCACCAGGAGGCTGGGAGTTCTAGTCCCGCTTTAAGCATGAAAGTCAGGTGGGTGACTTTGAACCAATCACCAGGAGACTGGGAGTTCTAGTCCCGCCTTAGGCATGAAAGTCAGGAGGATGATTTGGGCCAATCCCCAGGAGACTGGGAGTTCTAGACCCGCCTTAGCATGAAAGTCAGCTGGGTGACTTTGGGCCAATCCCCAGGAGACTGGGAGTTCTAGACCCGCTTTAGCCATAAAAGTCAGCTGGGTGACTTTGGGCCAATCACCAGGAGACAGGGAGTTCTAGACCCGCCTTAGCCATGAAAGTCAGCTGGGTGACTTTGGGCCAATCACCAGGAGACAGGGAGTTCTAGACCCGCCTTAGCCATGAAAGTCAGCTGGGTGACTTGGGCCAATCACCAGGAGACAGGGAGTTCTAGACCTGCCTTAGCCATGAAAGTCAGCTGGGTGACTTTGGGCCAATCCCCAGGAGACAGGGAGTTCTAGACCCGCCTTAGCCATAAAAGTCAGCTGGGTGGCTTTGGCCAATCACCAGGAGACAGGGAGTTCTAGTCCCGCCTTAGGCACGAAAGCCAGACTTTGGGCCAGTCCCTCTGTCACTCAGCCCAAGCTACCTCACAGGGCTGTTGTTCAAAAAATAGGAGGAGGAGGAGGAGGAGGTGCTCGATAGTTTTACCACCTCGAGTGACTTGTACAGATAATGAATACGGGATACAATAAATAATACGAAATTAAAACAAATCCAGACGGTAGAATTGACAGGGCTGCCGTCTGTATCTCAGCGGAGGCCGTGAAAGGGTTCCACATTTTTTTTCCAGGATTGGTTTCTCCCGCGATTATGTGGCAGAGGTTTTGTTCTAAAAAGGTTCCCCTTTTGTGATACTTCAAAGATCACTCACTCGCCCGTGTGAAATTAATCAAGGGAGGATTTATTGAATGGCTCCACCCGTCGGCGAGCGCGGATCAAAACCTTAAAACCTTCCTTTTCCAGCAAGCCGAGCTGGCCTAATTTTTTAAGTGTTTTTAAGTGTTTTGTTTATTGTTTTTAATTAATGGGGCCAAATTTATATATGTATATTTTAACTGTATTTTAATATTTGTACTTGATGTTTTTACTTGGCTGTTCACCGCCCTGAGTCCTCAGGGAGAAGGGCGGTATACAAATTCAAAATAAAATAAATTAAATAAATTAAAAAAAAAAAAACACAACCCAGATCCTGTCCATCAAAAAAAAAATAATAATCTAATCCCTCTGAGAATCTCTCAATCCTTATTAAAATCCCAGACTTACAGCCCGAGCGGAGGAAGAAATGATGCGTCCGCCTTTGGTGTAACAAGAGATTACTACCATAAACATGCCCAGATTTTGATTGACGGGTGATTCAGGTAATTCCAACTCCAAGGACATTCGGTAAGGTTGGCCGTACATGAGAACCTGGTGGGAAAAAAAAGAGAGAATGATCTTCCTTTGTTGTGGGTCACTCATGCCCCGGTTATCTTTTCCCCCCCCACCCGGTTAGACTACTGCAATGCGGTCTCCGTGGGACTGCCCTTGAAGACGGTAAGGAATCCTCGATTTATAACCATTCGTGTAGCGATCGTGGGAAGGTACAACGGGCTGAAAAAAAGTGACTTTTTTCCAGAGTTAGGGCCTTTCCAGCATTCCCCCCGTGATCAAAATTAAGATGCTTGGCAACTGGTTCGTATTTATGACGGCAGCGGTCATAAATCATGCGATCCCCTTTTTTTACTTTACTTTGCTTTTTACTTTTATTAGACTTCTATACCGCCCTTCTCCCGAAGGACTCAGGGCGGCGTACAGCCATATCAAAACATAAAATTTACAAAATTTAAAAACCATTAAAATCAAATATACAAAAATTTGGCCCACAAATTAAAAAACTGACATACGAACTTCTGACCAGCAACGCCAAGAGGGGAAGCCAGGTTCACCAAACCATCGGCTGACTAGCTTTATCAACGTGGCAAGAAAAGGGGTGGGCAAACTCCCTTATAACAAATGTCTCACTTAACGGCAGAAATTCTGGGCTCAACTGTGGGCGTAACTTGAGGACTACCTGTACTTACCACCAATCCTCGCATGGAGGACCCGTTACAGCGTTCCCACGGTTATGTGATGAAAATTCGGCTGCTTGGGAGACCGGCGTGTATTTACGAGTTGTAGCATCCCAAGGTCACAAGTTCTACCTTCTGCGACCTGCCTAGCCAGCTTTTGACAAGCATAGCAAAAGAGCCTTGGTAGTACAGGGGTTTAAGGCACCCTGTTATTAAGCTGGTTATTAAGACCAGCTGCCCGCAATTACTGCAGGGTTCGAATCTCGCCAAGGCTCAAGGTCGACTCAGCCTTCCATCCTTTCTAAGGTGGGTAAATTGAGGACCCAGTTTGTGGGGGCAATAAGCTGACTTTGTATAAAATATACAAAAGGATGAAGGCTATTGCTGAGCACATTGTAAGCTGCCCTGAGTCTTCGGAGAAGGGCGGCATATAAATCAAAATAAATAAATAAATAAATATAAATAAATAAATAAATAAATAAATAAATAAATAAATAAATAAATAAATAAATAAATAGTCGATTGGGGGGGAAGCTGGGCTCGCTTAACGACTGTTGTGTTTAGCAACACAAATGCGGGTGGGTCAGTTCAACAGGTATTGCACGAGGGCGATCAACTCCGCCGTCTTAATTGCCAGGCTGCACCCAACGGGCGCAGCAGCTGAGATAAAACCGCGAGCCAAGAATTTCAGGCCCGATTTGAATTTCACCTCGTTTCTGATGCAATACCAAAGAGGCTCAAAAATAAACAACCCCAGAGCATCGCGTGCAGCTCTCCACGGAGTTTCTGGGCTGAAATGCCGATGCTTTTCCTTGCTCTGGCATGTGCCTAAAGACATCTGTCTGGTCGGACATATCCTGTTTTTAATCGCCTATGATGATCAAAGCTAATTATTTACAGCCTAATTTTTCCTGCCTTCAAAGTTGGAGGGAGGGAAGGAAGAAATGGAGGGAGGAGAGGGAAAGGAAGGGAAGGAGGGAAAGAAGGGAGGGAGGAAAAGGAAGAAAGGAAAGGAAAAAGGGAAGGGATAAATGAGAGGAAGGGAGGGAAGGAAGAAAGGAAGAGAAGGAGGGAAAGAAGGAAGGAGGGAGGAAAGGAAAGATGGAAGGGATAAAGGAGAGGGAGGGAGGGAAGATAAGAGGGGAGCTAAAGAGGAACAAAGGAAAAAGAGGGAGAGGGAGGGAAAGAAGGAAGGAGGGAGGAAAAGAAAGGGAGAAAGGAAAGGAAAAAGGGAAGGATAAACGAGAGGAAGGGAGGGAAGGAAGAAAAGAAGGGAACTAAAGAGGAAGGAAGGAAAAAGAGGGAGAGAGGGAGAGAAGGAAGGAGGAAAGAAAGGAAGGAGGGAGGGAAGAGGAAGAAGAAGATAAAGGGGAGGAAGAAGGAAGAGGAAGGAAAGAGGAAAGGAGGGAAGGGAGGGAAGGGAAGGGAGGGAGGAATCAGAATTATCAAAAATCACAGAAGAACAAAAATTAGTGTACAACTTTTGTTTCCTGCAACCTTATTCCATCTCATTTCAAAACATTGTAGTCATCAACTGGTCTTTGAAAATCGCTCACCTGGTCTCGGCTGTCCTTGATGAACGAAATGTTGGCAACAGGAAAGGAGCAGAGTTCAGGTCCCGGCTGGCCACAATCTGTCCTGAAAAAAAGGCCAAAGAGTTGTCCCAAATCAGATTCAGATGACACGTTAGCAGATCTCAAGCTTACAAAGCTGTTATTTTTATTTTTATTTTTTTTTGACATGTAAGTTTTGGGGCAAAGAATTACAGGTAGTCCTTGACTAACGACGATGCGTTTAGTGGCCGTTCAAAATTACAATGGAAGTGGGAAAAAGGGACCGATGATCATTCCTCGCTCTTACGATTGTCCCCGCGGCCACGGGATCAAAATCTGGGTATTTGCAACTAGCGTGGATTTACAATGGTGGCAGAGTTGCTATTTGAGACCTTGCCCGCCAATTTCCGGCAAGCAGAGTCAAGCGGGTGGGGGGTGGGGGAGACCGATTCGCTTAACGACCATGTGATTCGCTTAACAACTGCACTGATTCGCTTAACAACCCTGGCCAAAAAAAAAAGATGGCAAAATCAGAAATGACTCGCTTTAACAACTTCCTTGCTTAGCAATGGAAAATTTTGGCCCCAATTGCAGTCGTAAACCGAGGACCGCCTGTCATAATCTCCTACTAACCCAGTCTTGCTACAAACCCCCTCATCTACCCAAACTAACCTGAACTGGTAGTGCACGGGGCTGACGTAGCTGACCGTCGGCATGTAGGAGTAATAGAAGCTGCCGTACAGGAAAATTGAGACCCAGAGGAGCAGCAACAACACGCAGAACAAAATGGCCGTCTGGAGGACCGTGCGCCGTACTCGCAACATTAGCAAGGAGGCGACTTCTTGGACCCAAGCCAAGAATGGTCCAGGACTCGCTGACATGATGGCGGTTGGTTCAAGATCCAAGGAAAGTAAGTCAATACGTTTGGGGAGGGGGGAGTTTCAACCCAAGCGGCGAGCGTCCGGTTTTGGGCACCGCGGCAAAAGCACAGTAACGTAACCGGAGTTCTTTCCGCAACGAAGAAGTGGATTTAAAAATAATTAAAGCGTGGTAGTCATTTTAATCCGGAAGTCAAAAGCTTTTTACGCAGGCGAAAAGGACCGGGTGGAAGATGGTACGCTGGTGCATTGCGGTTTTCGGAAAGCGGCTTTGGCTTCATGAGAAAAACAGTAAGATCAGAACATGCTGGATGGGGAGGGAAGGGGGGCACCAAGCCCTGGGACCCCTCCTCTTAAGAAATTAGGCTGTTCTTTTAGACTCCGCTCCCCAGGGCCCAGAAGGTTCCTAAAATGGAAGGAAAAAAAAAAAAGACAAAATAGATACAGAGTTATTGCAGACGGCAGATTTCGCAAATTCTTGGCACATATTCTTTTTGGGTTCAACTTTTCCCTACAAGTCTTTGGATTTGTGAACAAAGAGTGTTAACCCTTCTTGGAGAAGGAGGTTCTACAGCAAAGGGGGGGGGGTATCATGGGATGCAGAGATTATAACCCCCCCTCCCCCCCAAAATAAATTCAGCCTCTGACCCACTTCCTTTGCCAATTCTATCTGGGTAACCCAGACGGAGCTTGCAAAGAACGGTGTCAGAAGCGACATTGTCGGCCGCTGATGGTTGAATGTTAAAACAATCTGAGTTTAATATGTAATAATAGAATAAGAGAGTTGGAAGGGACCTTGGAGGTCTTCTAGTCCAACCTCCTGCTTAGGCAGGAAACCCTACACCACTTCAGACAAATGGTTATCCAACCTCTTCTTAAAACCTTCCAGTGTTGGAGCATTCACAACTTCTAGTGGCAAGTTGTTCCACTGGTTAATTGTTCTCACTGTCAGGAAATTTCTCCTTAGTTTTAGGTTGCTTCTCTCCTTGATTAGTTTCCACCCGTTGCTTCTTATCCTGCCCTCAGGTGCTTTGGAGAATCGCTTTGCTCCCTCTTGTTTGTGGCAGCCCCTGAAATATTGGGGTTTGTTGAAAAGTTTATTGGGGTTTGCATTGGGGTTTTATTTTTTTATAAGCCACCCGGAGTCAATGTGAGTTTGGGCAGCCACGTTTTTATTTTATTTATTAAATGTACTAAATTTTATTAAATGTATTAATACATTTTAAATTTAAATTTATTAAATGTATTAAATGTAATATGTGCCTCCCATCTGATCTAGAGGCAGAAAACTGTACATTTTCTAAACAAACACATAATAAGTAAAAACAAAGACTGGTGAGTGATACATTTGGTCCCTACTTCTCAATACAGCCAACACTTAATTTGAACCAATTATGTTTTTTAAAAAAATGCTTTCTGTAAAAGAGGGAAGAAGATAAAAAGCCTTTAAATAAAGCTACAGTTAAATTATTACAGTGCAAAGCTCCCAATTCAGAATTCCGAGGAGCAAAAGCTGTACTAACACCCAACCAAAATAAAGTATTTTAATTTTTTTTTCTTTCCTCAAACAAGAAGGCAAAACTTGGGACAGGAAGGAACTTAAAAACAGTTACTGCTCAAGGTTACAATCCGTAGTTGGAGTGGTCGTAGTTGGAGTCTTAATTGCAGTTTTAAGTACAGTTTTTTAATAATATTTTAATCTGTATGATCTAAATTTTGTAATGTTTTAATTTTTTTTTACTGGTTTTATAATCTTTAGGGTAGATGGATGCCATAAAAATTTAATAAATATCTTTATTTTTTAATTATTAAATTTTTATGGCATCCATCTACCCTAAAGATTATAAAAGCAGTAAAAAAAATTAAAGATAAAGAAGACTCGAAATATTACAGGACATGGAATAAATTTTATGAATGGATAAGAGACAAGAGGTAGAAACGAGAGGGAAGTTTATGAATGTCAGTTCAACAAAGATGTACAAGACCATGGATATAATATGTAAAAATTTGTAAATAAACTAATGTATGTAGAAACTTAGTTGAAGTTTTCTTTTGTTTTGGTTGTATTGCTGCAATTACTGTTAAAATAGTACAGCTATAGTTATTAGCATGTATGTTAAGATTCACCATTGATCTCTCTCTGGCTATGCTTTATCTGCATTGTTATCTTGACATGGCACTGTCTTTTCAATAAAATAAAATATTTTTTTTTTAAAAAATTAATAAATAACATAATAGTGACCTTAAAGTTAAATCCCAATTCAAAACACAGCAATGCCAACATTCAGAGATACACCGGCTCTTTTGAAGTTACAAAACACACAACAGAATTTGTTGTTTGCCTGTCTTTGTTTGATAAACTGTGAACCAGAATCTCTCACAATTCTCCCAAACGACACTTTTTAAAATTTACTCATACTGTTTACACTTGCCAACATGCCCTGGCAATCAAACTAACAGCCTTTAAAATTTTAGAAAATGACAGCCTCCTTTCCCAGGAATGTGAAATTCACCTTCTAGTTACAATTCTAAGTTTCTAGTTCAATTCTAAATTCAGCTCCTAGTTACAATTCTACGTTCTTAATTAAACAAACAAACAAACAGACGAAAGGCATCCATACAAAGCTAAGTGCAACAATATACAAAATCCTGCAAAGTCCTCTTATTTTCGCACGCAAGGGAGAAAGAAATTAAGAGGGGAAATTGGACCTGCGTTATGATGATAAAAGTGGGTTTTTAAAAACTTGGGTTTTTAACTAGAAACAGGGAGACAAGGTCCATACAGTCCTTAACCCCCCCCCCCCACACACACACCAATCTTGGTTTAGGCTTCTTTGTTAGAAGGGAAGCTTCCTTCCAAACACAAACCACCATTCCCATCTCGGTTTAAGAGAGGCAACCAGGATAAGAAGTCTTGCAAAAAAAAAAAAGAAAGAAAAAAGGATCAGAGATGTTGCATGCAAGGATGGGGAGGAAAATAGTGGGGAGGGGGGAATGCAGAAGGAAAAAAAGGGGAGAGGGCTTTTTTTTTTTTTTTTAAAGTCCCATCTGCTTAGCTTGCAAACCCTGATTGGGAGTCAGAGAGGAAGCTTGTTAGTTTCCATTAAAGGGGGGGGAAAAAAAAATAAAATTTCAAAGCACCTGAATTAATTCCAGTGATGTTGCTGCTGCTGCGGCTCCGCCTCTGGATTCTCCCTTTAAAGTCTTCCCCCCCTCCACCCCCCCCTTTTTCCTAAATGTGGATCTGGTGCTACCTCTTCCGGGTTTGGCCCCGCCCCGAGGAGGGAGGGGGGAAAGGAGGAGGAGGAGGGGAGTGGCCTGTTTTTTTGGCAAGGCTGCTGCTGCTGCGAGCATCTTCCAGTCACGTGGTCGGTGGGATGCGGCGGCGACGGCTGCCTTGCCTCCCGTTTCCATGGAGACGGGCCGAAGCGGAGGACCGCTTCGGTGCCTTTTTCTCCAAATTAAGATGCTGGAGGGGAAGGAGGGATGCTCGCTCAGGAAAATAAAAGAGATTTACGTTTAACCAAAGGCTTCCCTGCTTTCTGATTCTTCTTCTTCCTCTTCTAATAGTGAAACAGGGGTCTTTTTATTTCACCATTAAATAAAACGATGAAATATCTTCCGCTGGGCCCTGAAGACTTTTTTATTTCAGCAAGCCGGGCTGGGTTAAAAAATCTTTTAATTGGGGAATTTTATGGGCAAGGGGTTTTAAATTGGAGAAGCCAAAGATAATTTAATTTCGTTTTAATGTATTTTAATATTTGTATTGTGTGTTTTTAATTTTAGTTTAGTTTAGTTTAGTTTATTTGATTTGTATACCGCCCTACTCCCGAAGGACTCAGGGCGGTGAACAGCCAACAATAAAATACATAAATACACAAAATTTAAACACCGATAAAATCAAATTAAATTATTTGGCCCAGACAAATTAAAATACCCCAATAATTTAAAAACAGATTAAAATTTACATATTTAAAAAGGGAATTTTGGCTGTTCACCGCCCCGAGTCCTTCAGGAGAGGGGGGCGGTATAAAAATTTAACAAATAAATAAATAAATAAATTATAAAAATTAAATATTTAAGCTTCCTTATGAGGGGTTGGCCTGCATTCGCACAACCCTAGATTCTGTGGGCTTAGGCGTTAAGATTTCTCGGGAAAGGAATCTTTTATCTCCTGTGTTGCAGACACCTAAAAGAAATTCCTTTTAAAGCTCTGTTAAAATCAATTCCCGGCTTTTATTTACAAGAGGGTGAGCTTGCAATTCAGGGTATGGTTGAAATTTCAAGTATTTTTTTTTTAGCAGTTTAAGTGATAAAAGTGTAGGATAAAAACAGGAGCGTAGAACATTATACGTGCCCAGCAACTAATCTGAGAAAATGGAAAAGGTGTCTCTACCATAAACGGTGGAGCTTTTGATCTTTACGATTCAGGCCCTGAATCAGAATTATTTTATGGAATTTCAATTTCAAACCTTTATTGTCAATGCAGAACAGGTGTACAATGAGATTGGCTGAGCCTAAGATTGGCTAAGACTAATTCTGATAAGAATTTACTTATATAAATCAAATTATTTCTTTCTACAACTTTCCCAAGTTTCTGGCAATCTTGAAAATTAATTTACTCTTTGGTAAATCCAATTTATTTCCAAGGGGGGGGGCACACTGTGTAAAGATATTTAAGATGACGGCCTTAACAGTGGAATAAATATATTCACTGAATACATGTAGTAGCAAGTCACCAATGTTGGTAGGAATACTGAATATGTATCTAATGGTATTATGAAATAGCCATTTGGAGTGCAATCTTCTGGGTACCCGTTTAAGTAATTTTGAGTTGGTACACGTTTTACATTAAATTTTCCATCTGTTTACCTACAATTAAATTAATAAGCCAGAATTGGCTAAGCATGTTGTGAACAAACTATGGTTAAATAAACCACATCTTAGAACAAGGTGCGAATCAAGACATTTGAGTTTAACACCTATCTTCTGGGATGTTTGGGGTGTTTTTTAAAAAAACATTTCACGGGCTAGTAGAACATATATAAACCTGTTTCAATATAATTCATAATTATATTATTGAATTATATATATATATATATAAAAACTCTGCCCAGAAACTCAGCCCAGTGCCGTAACAAAATACATAAATAGGCTGTGAAACTCTATTTAACTTAGCATAAATTGTTAATACCCTTTTCTTTCTCCTTTTCTCTTTTCTTTCCTTCCTTTTCTCTCCGTCTTTCCTTCCTATTTTTTTTCTCCTTCTCTCCCCTTTTCCTCCTTCCCCTTCCCTTTCTTTTCCTTCCTTCCTTTTCATTCTCGTTTCTTCCTTTTTTTCTCCTTCCCTCCCCCTTCCTTCTTCGTTCGTTCACTGCCTTTCTTCATTTTTTCTCTTCCTCTCCTTCCTTCCTTTTTCTCCTTTCCTCCCTTCTTCCCTCCTTCTTTCCCTTCCTTCTCTACCCTTTCCTTCCTTCCTTCCCTCTCTACCCTTTCTTTCCTTCCTGATTATGCCGTTTTGTTTGTGTTTAACCCTGGATTATGCAAACCAGGATGTCCACCCAGTCTTCCTTCCCAAGGTGATGCAGGAAAAGGAGCTAGGTTTTGGAAGTCTGGTGCCCAATGAACTGGGAGAACAATTTTTTTTTTTGGAAAGGCTGTTGATGTCAGATTTGTAAATGAAAGCAATTGCTGACAAATACTGCAGTTCCCCGATGTTCATATTTACACAAGGGTGTGTTGACCAAATGACACAGCCACTCTCTTTTGACTCCGCTTCTTCCTTTCGTGCCCCCCTCCTCAAATCAACCTCTTCCGTAATAGAGCCCGGCTATGCCAACCCCCTCCCACACTTTCCAGTCCTGCCTTTCAAGCAATGGCTGTCTGGGCAGGAGGTGGGGGGGGGTGTACCATCAGCCCTCCCTCTACCCCCCCCACCCTTTAAGGAGATGGTTTGGTCCCAGCGTTAATTGCTTTGTGGAATCCTTCAAGGTAGATCGATCCATGGGATTCAATTTCATCTTAGCCAAGGTGTGCCAAA